TGAAGAGAATCCAGAAGGGCCCAGTTAGAGGTATCTCTTTCAAGTTGCAGGAAGAGGAGAGAGAGAGAAAGGACCAGTACGTCCCAGAGGTCTCTGCCTTGGACTTGTCCCACACTGGTGGTCAGTTGGAGGTTGACGCCGAGACTGCTGACTTGGTCAAGACCTTGGGCTTCAAGATCCCTCTTCAGACTGTTGCCATCTCTTCCCAGAGAGGTCCAAGAAGATTCGCCAAGAGAAACTAAGCGTTTCGACTGGCAAGTCTAACTCATCATAATAAATGTATTGTATATTGATTACCTGTAGATCATTTACATGTTGGGCTCCGCCTTCCTCTCCTCAGCATCGTCCTCTTCATCCACTAGAACAGATGCATCGAAATAGAGCGACGGATCTAGCGTCGAGATGTTAGCCAGTTTGGCCTTTCCGTCTAACAATAGTTCACTCATAACCTTACCACTACCTGGGGCATTGTTGATACCCCAACATGAGTGTCCGGAGCATAAGAAGAGGTTGTCCACATTGGTCTCACCAATTAATGGGCCACTGGACGAGGGCACATCCAACACAGGTAAGTAACAAGCTTGTCTCTTCAAAATTCTTCCCTTGCGCAACATCGAAGACATCTTACCCACTTGGGAGAAAAGATCGTCACACTTCGACTTAACCACCTCAACATCGTCCGTCGTCTCTGGCACGTCAACGGCAGAATCACCTTCTCCACACACAAAGACCTCGTCCTTTCTTGCGTATATCTCAGGCGACACATACTTGTTTCCAACCTTGTATTCTGTGAAGATAGCGTATGGGGACACACGCTGGTCATTATGTGGTGCAATGGTAATAGAGTGAGCTCTCAAGCCAGAGATTGGGCAGTCCGGAAGGATCTTGGACGTCCAAGGGCCCACGGATAGAACGATTTGATCACCCTTCAAGCTCACTGGCTCGTGGACATCCTTTTTAGCACTCGTTGGCTCATATGTGATACCTGTGGCAACACCAGTGTCCATCAGATATAGAATCTTATTGACCTTTCCGAGAATGAGTTCTAGGGCGCCATTGGAATCTTCAACGGCCTTCTTCAAGATGAAGTTGGTGAATCTGTAAGGATGCACCTGAGCGGTGGTGTCTTTACCACCCAAAGAGGAGCACAGGTTGACAAATTGTTCTGTGATCCAGTTCAAGTCCGTGGGCAATTTCTTGGAATCTCGTTGTCTGGTGACTTTAGATGTCTTCTTGGGTGGGAATTCGGTATCAGGCAGGGCAGTTTGCGTCACCTGCTTTTCTGATTCCGAGTTACTCTCATCTTCTTCGGGGCTGAATCCTGTTATGTCACCCTCTATGGATACTGTAGTAAGCCGTCTGTAATCCCACACGTTTTCGCCATCATACAAGTCAGAAAGCTCCTGATGCAATTGAAAAGAAAGAGGCACTAACTGCTGTGGGAAAGCCCAAAGCGCCAATAACCCACCAGCCTTGCCACTAGCACCACCAGCCACACGCTTGCTTTCCACCAAGGAGATGTGGTACTTTTGGGGATCAAACTTGGGGTGCTTCACTAAGTAGTAAGCGGTGCAAACACCAATGATACCTGCGCCAACTATAATAATATGTTTCTTGCCCTCATGGCGGCCTGAAGGCTCGGAGGAAAAAGTTAGGTAGTCTGACATGACCTGGTTTTCTTATGATGTAGAAGAGGCCAGAGATATATAAGGTGTGAGTGCAGTGCAGTCAAAAGCGAGAAACATGTATGGTTTCTGCAGGCCCAGCAGCAATGGTGGTGAATACTTTCCCAGCGAGATAAAGCTGCACACATGCAGTGGATGCAAAAACGGTGCAGAGGCGGACTGACTAGAAGGTGGGGTGATGCTAGCTAGGTAAAAGCGGCCCGCTTTGCAAGCCATTGTCCAGAGGAGACCCCTGGCGCGATTTGGAAGAAGCTCCGAATATGGTTTGGGTTTTCAGAAAAAACAGCTGATTTCTCACGTAAGCGCTATGCGGCATGGTCCACCAACTGGTGTTGAGGGTGAAGCACCACAAAGCTTGATACCTCGGTGCCGTGTCCATTGATAGATATTTGCCCATCATTCAGGAGTATCGAAATGAAGGGATTTTCTGCGCATTCCACCAGATTTATGCTCCGCAAGAATTGCCGTTTTGCAACCATTGAAAGCGCTGCAAGATACCGCCTAGGACTTTTTGCCTGAAGCATCCATTTTTCCGGGCTTAGTGGTCCGATTGTTAACCCGCTTGGGAGGGCCTCCACGCAAGGGTCCAGCCAAGATTCATTATACTAGATCTGCCTGCAAAGCTGACAGGTATTCAGGAACGCTCACGTAAGTATACAAGATCTTCCTTACATATTTCTCATACTGCTTGAAATCTCCCTTTGTCTGTTTGGTCTGTATAGTCTAGCTTCGCTTGGCCTTCTTTTTACCAAATAGCTTCTTGGCGACCCCCAAAGTCTTCACGGCAAATAAAGACACAATCATAGCGGCTATTGTGGTGACAAGCTTCTCATTTTTGCTCCAGAGCTCGTAGTCGAACAAATGAATCTGATCCTTTTTCCTCCTTTCCAAATAAAGAGAAAGTGGATCTTTGTCTTCATTCCATTGAGGCTTGCTCAATCCCTTCAACCTGACGTGCCTTTCAACCTCTTCTTCACGACGTGGGTCATTCACGATTCTATAAAATAGCTCGAATCCCTGAGGACTGTTCTCAAGAGCCACCTCCGGAATAGGGTGGATGGTACTTGTGGTACTTGACGTAATCAAAAATGAATAGTGTGGCGAGGGTATCCTCTTTAAAACCTTGTCTATTAATTCATCATTGGCACGGATCGCCAAGTCACGCTCAGGGCCTGGAGGCGGAAGAGGGTTGAACTCGATTCTGATGATTCTCTTTCTCGTGTCTATGTATTCGGCAAACACGTCTTCTTCCTCATTCATGCTAATCGTTTCGGCAGAGCAAGTCCTGGTAATGTAGGCTTCTAAGAACAGTAGATCAAGGGTTCCCTCAACCCAAGGCATACCAATCAAGGTACTCAGCATATGCATATACTTGACCAAGTTCCGCCAGAGCTCCTGCTTTCGGTCGATCATGTCGATATTCTCAAGACCAGGCATGTTGATGATGAGATATGCGTCGGAAGAGCATTCTGTAATGGACTTCTTGAGCATGTTCGTGACGCTCTGGGGGTCTTGTTTCTGGATAAATGGGTGCTTCACCTCATCCCTAAGGCCGGGAACTAAACTATGAGATCCATAAAGAACTGGGACGGCCTGGAAAGCTAAAACTGGGATGGTATATAGCAAAAAGGCGAAGAGTAGCATCTTTGGTGAAGAATCGATGTAGTATGAGGCATCTGTTCTATGTCGCGACTATGCAGAAACTTGGCTGTGCTACGTTTTTGAATAACATCCATGAAATTCTACTCTATATAATACCACCCCATCTTGAATTTCCTTTTGCACACCTCATAGTCATGGTTTAGTCACACTCAATTTTAGCATCTTCTTTCACGTAATTGGAAAGGAAGCCATTAAACAATGACGTTAAACGCTCAATATCATGAGAGCCACCAGTCTCTCTGATAGAGTGCATTGATAATTGTGGGTTACCCAAATCAAGAGTCCTAATACCCAACTTAGCAGAAAGCATGGGCCCAATAGTGGAGCCACAGGGAGAGTCATTTCTCACAACGAACAACTGCAAAGGCACGCGTGCAGCATTGGCAACAGCCTTGATAAGCACGATACCACGCGAGTTCGTAGCGTACCTTTGGTTGGCATTGATCTTGATAACAGGGCCCTTGTTGACCTCAGGCTTATTGACTTTTTCATAAAATCTTTCATAGTTTGGATGAACACCGTGAGCTTGGTCAGAAGACAACAAGAACGATCTGTTGCACATACGGGGAAAGTCGCCGCTTTCGTTTGCAGCAAGGCGAGAAAGAACGTCTGGCAAGAAAGAGGAGTCTGCTCCTTGAGCGGAAACAGAGCCAATTTCCTCGTGGTCAAACAAAGAGATCATGGCCACACCATCGTTGGCTGGATGGGCATCAGCGAGAGCCTCTGCAGCAGCAAAACAGGATGTCAAGTTGTCTTGACGAGGACCAAAGATGAATTCGTCATGCAAGCCACCTAACGTTGCAGGTTGGTAATCGCCCAATACCAATTCAAAGTCTTCAATCTGTTTTGGCTCGACGCCCAACTCCTTGGCAATCAATGTTACAAGAGACTCGTTGTGACGCTCAACAACGTGCTTCACTGCGTTGAAGGCTTCTTCTGGAAATTGCAATGCTGGATCGTCCTTGCAGGAGTGGCCAAAGTCCTCTTGACCAGCAATTGGAAGTAACTCTGTCTCACGGTTGAACTCAAACTTAGTGTTTGCGTCTCTGTTCAAATGAATTGCCAAAGTTGGGATTCTCATCAATGGCTTGTTCAAGTGCAACAACTTAGGAACATAGTTACCTGCCTCGTCTCGAATGTACACCCTACCGGCAACAGACAAGTCACGGTCAAACCAGGAGTGTGCAATCAAACCACCATATGTCTCAACGCCAATCTCAATGAAGCCTTGGTTGGACTTCTTGGAGATTGGTTTGATCCTGAGACAAGGAGAGTCCGTGTGTGCACCGATGATAGCAACTGGGTTACCTGGTTTGTAGTCGGTACCAGTAGAGAACGCAATTAACGAAGACCCGTTTCTAGTGACGACATAACTCGAATCTGGTTGTATGTCCCAAGAGTCCTTCTCCTTCAACACCTGGAATCCCTTCTTCACAAGCAATGACTTGACATTGTGAACAGCATGGTAGGGAGATGGTGAGGCGTTGACATAATCAACGAAGCGTTGGGCAGCTTTGAGATCACTCATGATGAAAGAAGTGTTATACTGGACCATTCGCAGAGCCGCCTGTTTGACAGAGCGTATTTCTCCACACAGGAGGAGCCGTCCGCGCGGAAGGCTCGAGCGGATTATGCAGCTGTTACCAAGGGCATTTAGCTATACTGATTATTGTCTGCGATGACATCCGAAAAGAAGTCGTCGGGGTTAAATTGGGAGTCCTGATTGGGAAGTCCACCCTGATCTGGAAGCCCTGTGGAATTGTTTAATGTTTCATCAGGGTCCTCAAGTTTTACTTTTCCAACACCGCTTTCAAGCTCTGCAATTTCTCTCTCAATTTCTTTCCTGCGCTGCTCTTGACGCTCGGCCACCTTCTCTAGATGTATTATGTAGTCGACAGATGTCAGAAGAATAGTAGCTTTGTTGGGCTTTGAATCTCTCACCTTTACCGTTGAAAGAAGCTCCTTCATCTCCGCTGAATTCTGATGCGGTTGCTTCAGTAGACTTTGCACGGCGCATACTTGTGGGTTCAATAGAGAAGGTGGCACAAGAAATCCAAGTTCCTTGATCTTTTCCTTTATCAAATCACGCCGCCTGCGCTCCACGGCATTGTGGAACTCTCTTCTGCGCTTGGCTTTCTCTTCCTGAGTTAATTGCTTACCACTAGTTGGGTAGGGTTCCGACTTCTTCGAGTTACTTGGAGCGGAGGTACCCAAAGCCAGCAGACTAGGCGGAGACAATGTGTTCTCAATAGACTGTTGCTGCTGCTGCTGTTGTCGCTGTGCATGGGACTCGTTGAAGGAAGTCTGATTGAAGTTAACAGATGTAGGAATGCTCTTGCTCATGTTCAAGTTGAGTGGTGGAGGTGGTGAATTAGGGAACGAGGTCCCAGAGTATGGTGACCTTAGATTGTCAAAATTGCCATCTTGGGGTCTGGACTGTGGTGACAAGAAAGCGTTAGCCAGTGGCGACACGTATGGGTCTCCCAGAGGAGGAATACTGACGGATCCATGTCTGGAAAGTTCAGGACTGAAAGTGTTTTGGTAGGAGTTTGGCAAGCTGTCTTCGGCAATGGCTGACAAGTGATTGTAATGATTTGCTCTTGTGTTTGGCGAGAAGTATTGAGCAGAGGAGAAGATGTTGATGCCCGAGTCATTGACGTTATTCTCCGGTGAGACTAGCTGATCCAAGTTGGTGAAGTTGTCGTTCATGCTAAACTGCAAAGGGTCAGCCTGTGAGCCAAATCCTGGGGTGAAGTCATTGCTAGCGGCGCCTTGGGGTTGGTATCTTGGGGACACCGGCTGTTGTGAAGGCGAAGATAAGAACTCAAACGTGCTAAAGTAGGGGTCATTGGGGTTCAAGTTCTGTTGACCTTGAGAAGCACCTTGCGTCGGACTCTGAAACGTTGTGGGTGATGTGACGGTTGGAGAGGAGTACTCTTCCTTGATTTGCTGGTTCAAGTCTAAGCTAAAGTGGTCTGTTTGTGGTTGAGAGTCTGCTGTCTGAGGCTGTACCCGGGAAAACTCATCCTGCGAGCTACCATCCTGACCTTGCGAGTAGTTCAAGTACGAGTCGTACTGCTTCGCTCTTGAGGAGTCGGTGGTGCTCGACTCGTCAAATGGGCTGTCTCTTAAGAAGTCCTCCATGAGGGAATTTGTAGTTATGGAAATAAAAGAATGTCAAAAGCTATCCAATGGCTTGTGTGAACTCTTGTGGCACTTAAGTTTGTGGAACGCAATGGGAGCCCGTGGGGTATTAGCTTATAATTAGAATATCACAATGTAACGAGTACACCCAAACAATTGTGGCCTGGGGCTAAGATGTAGGTACCGAGAGAGGACCCCGGACCAGGGGTTACCCGGCCTGTGCACACTGCGGAACAGATTACATAAGACGGGTCTACAGAATCGACCAACCGCTTTCAAACTCCTCGACACAAATTGTCACTTCTACATAATGCAAATATTGAAATCACTCCAACCGGGCCAACTGATGTTGCTTTTGAAACCAAAGACATTCCGATTCCAGTCATGTGACCTTCTCGAGGCTGGCTTCCATTCCGCGGTTGGTAATGGTTGCAAAAAGTTACTTTGAGAGGCTTTCGTTCTCCTCTTTTCTACGTAAAATTATATTCAAGCAAACATTAAAACAATCTACTGAACAGGGGTTTCTTTTTTGGGCATTCTGTTCAAGACACGGTCCCAGACCAGCTTGCGCCTCTTGGTGGCCTTCTTTCCTAGAGCTTCCTCCTGTGTCTCAGTTTCCTTCTTGTCACCCAGGCTTGCACTTTCCTTAGAATCAACTTTTTTCGGAGATTTTGACTCGGTCTCTTCTCTACCAGTTTCCTCCTTGGTGTTCTTCGTGTATGACTGATTGAAATTGGAATATTTTGAATCCCCAAGAAGACGGATCAAAGCCTCCTCTCTGTCCTCAAACAACTTCTTGTCCATGACCACGAAAGTGTGCAGACCACGAGAAGATACACGAACGTTGTCACCGTAGTCCACTGTCTTGGTTCCAATTTGGCTTTCGAGCTCCTCGCCGAGTAAACTGTTCTTTCTACTGTGTTTCTGATGAACGCTCAGACCAGCAGCCGAGTAAAACGAGTTGAGGTCATTGCCCTTAGTATTGTTGTGGGCAGAGATTGGAAGCATGGAAGTAATGTCATCTTTATCTGGCTCTTCAAAATCGTGAACAATTCCCAGAGGCTCGAATTCCTCATTGGCCCTGAATGGGCTTCCAAGTCCTTCTTCATCAAAGCCAAGGTCCATTGCGATAAACCCTGGAGAAGATCTCAAAGAGGTTTCGGAGGCAGCATCCAGTGTCTCTTTTTGAGAAGAGGAATTTTTACTTGACTTGCCCTCACCGGAATCCGTTTGAGACAGAGGCGTCCCTTCGACAGCCCCGTTCGCCAGCTTCACTGACTTGTCAGAGGTTTCGCTTCCCTCTGGCTTCTCGGTTTCTGCTCTCTCTGTAGACTGCTTCTTTTCCATGCTTTCTTGTGTCTCGGAAGCTATACCTTGAGTTGAGTTTTCCACCTTAGCATTTGGATCAGCATTCGAGGAAACCTCGTCATTACCGTCTTCTGACGACTTAGGGCCATGAGAACTCTTAGAATTGATGGAACATACGGTGTCATTGTTCGACAAGGCATCATTGTGTTTGACTCCTGAATCAACTTCAGCATCGGGCTTCTGAGCCTGAGATTTCTTTGATTGTTCTTCTGAAGCATCTGAGGACGAAGCATCTGCGCTACTGTTCACAGGTGACTTCGAGAAAAGCTTCTTCAACTTTAACTTACTTATTCTCTTTTCGGTCATTTTCAAGTTCGTAAGGTGATAGAATTTTTTAGAGAGTTAACGGAATCATCGCTTTATATCCTCCACCCGGATCAAACTGTTGAGGCTGAGGTGTCAGAGGATGACCAAATTGTACAAACTACTAGGATTGGAATTACCGTTCTATTAGTCTATAGCTCAGCCCTTGATTAAGCATCCCCAATGAATACATAATGAATAATCTAGTTATTCTTTCTCTTGTTGACCAACTTCTTCTTCACGTGCTTCTTCATCTTCGTCTTTCTCTTCTCTGCCTTGGCCTCTTTGGCCGCTTGTTTTCTAGCTTTCTTATCATCCTTATCTTCAAACTTTTTACCCTTCACCTCCTTCTCCTTCTTTCTGCGTCTTCCTTCAGTTTCTTCGTCAGATTCTTCCTCGTCGGAGTCATCCTCGTCAGACTCATCGTCTGATTCCTCTTCTGAACTGGTTTCTTGCTCTTCTTCGGCAACAAGGTCTGTGAGTGTGTCGACTCTGCCCTCTTGGAACTTCTCAAAATCACGCTCATCAAGATTATTCAACGACCTCACCAAATGGAGTGACCGGAAAATTTCATCATCGACGTTTGAGCTATCCACCTCACTTTTCAAAGGAAGAGAATCGAGGTAAATTCTCAACTGCGCATCATCCTCGTCGTCCACACCCAAATTGGGTTCGGTAATGTACTTAAATAATAGTCTTTCAGGGAACACATGTATCTTCTTTCTTGAGAAAAAGTCATTGACGTTCTTGATATCCATTCGCAAGAAGTCAAGTGCCATGGGATGTTCAGGCTCAACTGATTGCGAAACATCAATAATGTAGAGCTTGTCATTGTGAACAATGGAGTTGTATTCACTCAAATCAGCATGAACAAGACGACATTTCTGATACATTCTTCTCATGTAGATGAGCATCTGCTGGTAGTAAAACACGATCTCATCTAAGTCCTTGAATGGATGGTCCTTGAGTTTGGGGGAAGGTTGAGCATTTCCCTTGGTCAAGTACTCCATAACCAAGACATGTGAACGAAGTTCAATAGGCTCGGGGCACGGAATGCCATTCACATAGAGTCTTTTCAAATTTCTGAACTCTTTCTCAGCCCACACTTTGACCATCTTTCTAGGGTTACTTTGGTTCTTCGTATTCCTGAACCGGAACTCACCGTCCACATAACGCTCTCTGTCTTTGAAAACCAAAATCGAGGTCTTGTAAATCTTCACGGCGTACTCTCTGTCCGAGATAGTCGTGTCTTCGTGGTCACCATGGTAGACATTCGCTTCTTTACCCGTCGAGATGCATCCGTTGATTCTGGAGATGATGCCTTTGTTTATAATCTTTGCCAAAAAACGCATGGTTCTTGGGTCCAAAACCTGTTCCACAGTTGCCCTGTTGGCCCTGTCCTTCGTGGTCTTGGGTCCCTTCTTCAACGGCTCAGTATTGATCACCAGGGTATATTTCTCCACAATCTCACCTCTGTCAGTAATGGTTCTGGAATTTGAGGGAGCTTCGGATTCCAGATCACTGCTGTCAGTGTCTGACAGACTAATATGGAGATTTTCCATATTCTCCTCCAATTCTCTCTCCGACATTGCCCCAGAATGTTCTTTTCAAAAGTATTACCTGATGCGCAGAGAAGCGATGCTTCGCGCAACTGATCAACATCATTCTACCCGTTCTTCATCGTACTGCTAGCATAAATCAACGCAAGATGGCAGCAAAAATTCTTGAACAGATTCTTCCATCGGTATGTTTTTCCAACTCAATCCTGAGATCATTCTAACTTTGCAGAAGTTCTTTGTTGTCATACCCCTATATATTGGTGTCGAGGTGATTCTCGCTGTCGCTATCCTTAACAAGGCTGGTGGTGCTTACGGTGTCTTGTCCATTCTTACAGGTCACCACTTGAACTTCTGGCAGTGGCTTTTCAACTTGTTGTCATTCCTTACCCTTCCGTTCTACATCTCCGGCTTGTCCAACATCCTCAACAAAGCCAACAACGTTCGCAAGACAAGCTTGGCATGCGTGATCTACTTGATTGATACTGTCATTGGTCTTCTTTACACCATCTACTTTGTTCACTTTTGGTTCAGTAGGGAGGACAACAACCCTACCAGCTACGGTGGCTCTGGCACTGAAGCATCTGGTGTCGACGCGTACAGCTCGTACGCCCGTCGTGATGGGTCCAGTGATTCTCTTTCTCAGTCTGCGTCGCCACAAAGAGAGCTCTTTTTGACCGTCAGTGGAATTATTGTAACCAACGCGCTCCGGTTGTACTTTGCATTGGTCTTCGTCTCTTTCACCAAACAGCTCTTGAAGCAGTCCGCCCTTAACCAGAAGTACTACGGTGCAGACTCTTTAGACGAAGAAGTTTTGCACCCTACAAGTTTGATGGGTAGGGTGAAGAAGGTTATCTACGATCTCGAGATGAGAGCTAAGAGCTTCATGACAGACCTTTTGAAATAATCACTGTCTTTTCACATTTTCATACAAAACACCTCAAAATTTAATAGAGCAGCATAAAGCGGCTTGTATCCATAGTCAAATAATCGTCATAAACATTGTCATACTTTTAAACGCCTCGAACAATCTTTCCAATTTTGCATTCAATGTGCCTGTGCGCTAAGAAATCACATACCCTCGGTGGATTTATTGTCAGCCGATTTAATTTCAACGCTCTTATAATTCAGCTAAAAATGAGCCGATAACCATGGCTTTTTCATTGACGTCTATATTGTGAAAGCTTAGAGCCAAATCTGTACATGCCGGCAAGGATGCTTACTAGGGAGCTAGATCTCGCAACGGTCCCCACAATCGCACCATACACCATCTACCACAAATTTCACCATGGGCCAAGCGGCTAGCAACGAAGAAGATACAGCTTCATCAAAGCTGTTAGTGCTTGAACTGTTTACGAAAGAGCAAATCAATAAATACTTTCAATTGCGTTGTGTGCATTTGCTCACGAGAGAAGAGCTATCCTCTCTAGCATCGAGGCTCAATGTGACCTCAGCCAATGATCCCGAGACAGCCATTTCGTATTCGGATGTTGCTTACGTCCTTCAATTGTCCAACAAGAAGGACCAAGATATACTGGATGTTCACCAAGGCTTCGTCAAAGCAGTGAAGCTCCTCACAAACACTCTACTGGTCCTTGCGAGGTTGCCATTTCTACAAGACTTCACAGACAAGGAGCAATTGACTCTACGAGGTTTAATAATCTCGTCCACTGTACTTCTGGGGAGGATACGGCGTATGCTAGGTCACAAGTACAATTACTTGAAGCTCTTGTTCATTGCCTTCGCAGCGGCTTCAGGCGTTGACCAAGTGCC